CGTTCCTCATCTCATTTGGGCGAAGAAGCCTGAAGTTTGCTGAAGGACAAGGTTTGTGGCGGCGCCTCACATGGGCCACAACGGAACGGCGTCGTTTGTACGTGGTTTTGTGGCCGGCTCCTCGCCGGTTCGCTTGCGATCGCTTGTGCCTTCTGAATTCTTCAGGGAGTAGCGATTGAATAACTGCAAAATACTGGGTTGTGAAAGCTATCGGCAGTGTTGATCCTCCTGATCAACAAGCCCGTGAAGCATGACCCCAGTCAGAGGTCAACGGGATTGATCAGTGCTTTTCACTTTGACCTGCCATGAAGGTCCATATGAACAAATTGAGCAACCCTTGCTTGATGACTTTGCAGCAGAAAACCTGGCAGGGGAGTTCCGTACTTCAAGAACCGTGCGTGTGGTCCCTCATTAAGTGGAACCACCTGTCATATGCCTGGGCGCTGTGAAGTCCGGGCGCAGACTAGCAGGTGATAGGTGGGTCCCACCTCAGCTTTCAAGTTGATTTCCTAGATATTGCAGGTGAGGATCAATAGTAAATTACGACGCATTGTGGTCGGTTTACTTTCAGTTTTAGGGAATTTGCTTGTACTCGCGTCCCTTCCACAGATGGCCGAGGCTAGCTCATCCTAACTTCAACATTCAGGTAGTTTGCTTTCACATGCGCAGGTGAGCCCGCCGCACGCGGCCAAGGCACAGGCCTGTGGAGGCAAATCAGGGAGGCGGAGACTGCGGTGCTTACCAACTTGCCGCGCTCACAGCGACGCTCTCTCGAAAGGGGTGGGTTGGCCCATTGGCGTTCGGTTGGAATCAGGGGAAAGCAAGGACACAGGGCCACACGCACACGCACATGTGATGCGAATATGCATGCGCATATACATACGTCATATGTTTGAATGCTCGTGTGTTCCTGGACTATTTTTTCTTACATCACATATACTATATTTCCTGTGCTCACCTAAGGAATGAGAGGTGGTGTCCATGGTTAATTTTGGGAGTCACATGGGTGACTAAGTTGCCCAAATAGCACATATTGACGGTGACAATCGTCAAGGTGTGGCCAGCAGCCCGGCAGATCTGTTACACTGTTTTTGGGGCGGAGCCTGGGTGAATGCACCGAGGTGGCATGGACGTTTGAGGAACCTCCGTGGTGGGAATCTGTCATGCTAACTTCTTGGCCACTCATTCACGAGGAATCCCCCGGCTGTGAGTTTTAGTTGGTAAGCCCGAGTAAGCCCCTCAGAAAATGGTTGGACACAAGTTCAAGCATTTTCTCTTTCTGCATGTGGGTGGCCGAGGTCGCTATGCTGCATGCAGGCGGGATGAGAAGTTGGGCCCACGGCAGCAGGGATGGATGGGTAAATCACCTTGCACAGGGTCGCCCATAATTTCACCTGGGTCGTGCGCGCCATTGAGGATGAATACAGCACCTGGTCTTGGGATCCTTGAGTTTGGCAGGTTGCAGCGTGCTTGTGTTCATGCCACCTTAGAATCTATCTGATGCATGAACTTTCAAAGCCGGATGTGTTTGTGCTTGTGGCTTGCCCTTTTGCTTGTAGACCTGGACATTCTGCCAAAGAGAGGGCAATTAGTAGTTTGCATTTCCAAGCATCATCAGAAGCGGCTGCATTCGTGGATCCTCGGCCCTTAAATGGCATTGGGTGGATTCCTTTCACACGACTTGGCTTCAGCGAGGATTCCAGTGGCAGGCGCATAAGAGGTAGGTCCGGCGGCAAGCCGCCTTGTGCACTAGAGGATGCTCCCCACCCCACACACCTCCCCCTTCCCAAATTTCAAGCCTTGAGAGAGACAGCAAGAAACAAGTTGGACATATCTGCAGCGATTTCCTGCTCGACCGGGCACCTTCAGGAAAAAATCCTTCCAGCGAAAAGCAAGCCATGGCCACCCTGCTGCACTCCATGCACGTGTCCGAGCCCACTGTGCGGCCTGGCACAAGTGGAGCTCGCGTATCACTTGTGCGCTCCGTATGAAGGGTCAACGTGATTTGTCTACCCTGAACATGTGCAGCAACAGGTGCTGGGCTGTTGTGACAGGGCGATAATTTTGGAGCCATTTCTCAAGTCAAGACAGCATTGTGCTCCTTGCCATTTCATGACTCATCCGAAGGTCCCATCACTAAAATAATAGAATGGCTTGTGACTGGTTGACCTGAGAATGTAGACTTTCGCTCAAGAGGCGCAGTGAAAGCAAAATGGCGCATGCTGCGGGGGCATGTGGCTAAGGGCATTGAGGCCCTAATGGAAGCCAGGTGGGCTTCCGAGTTTTTTTTGAGGGGGGGTCGTGTTTTTTCTTGGGATTCCGCATAGTTTTTCACGCATGGTGGCCCTTGAACTCAAAGCTTCGATCATCGAAGCTACCGAGCCTTCCGGGAGTCTGGGAGTGGGCTTTAGCATCCCTAAGGTGGGCCCAGAGTGCGCTGCCAGCCATCAAGGGCTCGCCCGCCTGGGGCCCCAGGGTTGCACACAGCTTAAGCATGGGGAGTGTGGTTGTGCAATCTGGGTTGTCATTTTCTGTGGGAATGCCCCCAGGGAAATCTCATAGAATCAGGACTAGATGAGTGGAATCAACCCACCCCTTGAAAATCTCCCCTAGAAAAACTTGTGGCCCAGAAAGGGCAATGCATTCGTGATTAAGTGGTAGCTATGTTAGGCCCACGCACGGCGGCCCGAGTACGAGCTATTTGTGGCAGATTCCCTTGAACACGTGCATCTTGAAAGCACAGTGCCCGGGGGTGCAGCCAGTGGCGTTCAAAAAGTGACAGGTTGCATATTGTTACTGCATATGCTTAGGGAGATGTACATGTATGTACGAGACACGAACAAAAACCAGTGCATATTTCTTGGACAGTAGCTCAAACGTGGTGCGCCGTCGGATTGAAGCACCGTAAAAGTCTAGGAACAATGCAACGACTGGATTCAAGAGGAAGGGGTCACATATTCAAGACGCTTGCGGGTGGAGGGGGGCTCTTTTAAAACAGGCTGCTGGTTTGTCATCTGCGGATCTATGGCTTCCGTTGGGCTTCGTCGTTTTGCTGAGGCTTCCCGAAGGCTCTGGAATATTATGCGGGACGTAGCCATCTTCAAGCTGCGGGGAAGAGCTTTTTCTCGAGCATCCGGGTTTCAATCCTTCGGCTTGCTTGATAGGTCCAGCCGCGGCCGGAGCGCTCCGCCTTGCGCTCCGAAAGTCCGCTCGAGGCCTGAGATGGGCTGAGGGTCCCCGGATCAACATGGAGCCCGAAAAAGGCGGTTTGGGGGTTCCATACTTCTCTGCAGGAGTGTGATGTCCAAATGGGATTAGTAAAGGGGGGACCCCACCCCCTCAACGATGGGGGGTATCTAGAATAGTATCTTGAGATCCAGGCGAAGTGAGTTTCCATTTGATTAAGTATTGGTAGACTTGAGTTTCCATTTGATTTAGTATTGCTGGAGCTTCCTTTTGTTTTTCTTGGGGGGGCCAGGCAACAAGACTTTATTTCGGGGGGCCCCTGAAATAATGTCAAGTTGGGGGCTGAAGTACTACCCCCTTTGTGGGTTTGATTGTTTGCAGGTTTTAAACAAGATACATGTAATAACACATGGGTTTGGTCAAGCTGACAATTTTGGATTTGAGGAGCAGGCCCAAATCTAACAACACAGCATGAAGCACTGCCGGCCTCACCTAGGCTATCTAATTACTTGACTAGCTAAGCGGCAATTGCACTGGGCAAGTTGTATTTTTCAGGGGGACAAGACTTTATTTCGGGGGCCCCTGAAATAATGTCAAGTTGGGGGCTGAAGTACTACCCCCTTTGTTGGTTTGATTGTGGGCCGGTTTTGGCTTTAAGGAACAAGGTGCCAAAGATCCAAGGACCAGGTGTTGGCTTGGCTATCTCTCCTCTCCTTTCTCTCTTTCTTTTCCTTTTTTGGGGGGGGGGGGATTTTTTTTGGCGAGGGTGGCGGGTGCTTGTCTTTAATCCAGGTGCATGTATTAATCTTTTTGGGCCCCCCATTTGTCTTTATTGCGCGTGCATTTTTTAATCCCATTTGGACATTAACAGTGGAATGGGGGGGCTAGTGACAGTTTTGTGCTTGAGGCCGGCGTACAGCAGATTCGGGATGGCACTCCCAGAGCAAAGCACTGCAGCCACTCTCAACATCGGAGTTGGGCAATGTGTCACATGGCCATTTGATGGACAAACATGGGTTCCTTAGAGAAAGCATAGAATACAGAAGATATGTCCTTACCTGGTACAGCACGATAGGCTACCGGCAGCCATCTCCTTGCTTTGTCCTTCCAAGCTTGCGTTTGGTTTCAAGAGTTGGTGGTCTGCATCGTTTGAACAAGCTGACGATCCTTTGTGAGTAGCCTCGGACAATCTTATCCACAGTCTTGACAGCTTTTGGGCGGTAGCCTGCCAAAAAGTGAGAGAAACAGCCTAGCTCAGCGACATTCATAACTGCCTAAATTTGCCCGAACACTGTCACTTCAAGGGCCGCGGCCATGGACATCAGCAAGCAAGCCCATTTTTGAATGCCCAAGCCCCACACTTAGCCAAGTCCATCGTGACAGCTTAGTCACCAGCGGCTTGGGGTGTCACGGTCTTTGGTTATGCACTGTCCAAAGCATGACGGGATTGCCCAGCTTCTTTTTCCACAAGAATGCTCCTTGTCTCACTTGACAAACGCCTTGCAACCAATAAAAACACAGCTCGTTTTTTGAGCCTTGAGGCGGGGAAGGAGGGCTTGCTGAAATCTAGTTGGACCGGAAGGCGCTATGACCAACGTGCGTGACGTATTCTGCCTGAATCCCTTGGCCATCCAGGCATCGCTGACTCAGGCACCAGTTCCTGCAACTTGCCGAAGAAAGCGCTGGGTTGGGGTCCCGATGTTTTCAACTTTGATGGCTATTCCTGCAATGACAGTTTCAGTTGGACTGCTCTTGCCTTGAACCCGCTCAGGCTTTCCCATCCGGATTAATCGTACAGCCTTGTGATTGCTCCCATGCAGGTGAACATGCCCCCCGTAACCCGTCCATATGTTGTCATGCGCTTTGGGATTGGACATCTTCACTCAACGGCACTCCAGTGCACGACCGGCTAGATCAGGGGCTAGGTGTCATTTGTTAAGAGTCAACAATGTCAACCAGCACCAGTGGAAACAATGTTTTTTGGCAAAGTAAAGAAGCAAGCCAATGAGGACATGCTCATGTGAGAGCACGGTCTTTCGTTGCAACTTTTGCAAACATCACTTTTATAGGGTGGGGGGGGTGGGGTTGAGCTACGTCATTGCACAGCCACAAACACCCAAAACCTGCATAACTCCAATAGGACCAGTCGGACCCCCCCTCCAACTTGGATCAAACCCGTGTGGTTGTAACCACGGGCTTACGGCCACCAAGTTCTGTCCGATTCATATCCACGGGCATCATCCAGCTTCTTGGGTTGAAGTCCAAGACGCTGCTGAGTGAGGAGGTGAATCTGGACGCGGAGGCGGTGCTGTTGAAGCAGGCGGAGCATTGGCATCAGCTCTACCTTGACTTGGAGGCGCGCCCCGTTTGCGATTTAGGCGTTGTTCGCCGGTTTTTGTTGCCGAAGGGGGGGGCGAGTTTGGGATTGTGGCATCTTGGGCAGTGAGACCACCAGCTTACATGGGGGGTTGCTGTTTGGCACCTGTTTGCCCCGTCGCACTGAGACCTCCCTAAAGATGCGTTGGTTTGAATGTAAAGGGAGCCACGTTTGGTATGTGGTTGCCCAAAAAACGGCAAGAAGCTGGCGAAGGAAGTTCCGCAGCTTCCGCCAGAGACAATTCTTTCCCGCTGGTTGTGTTGCGGCACTTGGCGTCGAAGTTGACATAGGCGCTGGCCGTCTTTTGGTGGGTTGGTTTAGTCCCCTCTTTTGGAGTGGTTTCACAGGTTAATTAACGAACGGGACGGGTGCCAAGTCCCATTTGGAGACGACCGCCTGTAGTTTTGGGAGGGGAGGGGTTCCTGGACTCAAGTCCCACCTGGCAGGCCACTTGCGCCAAAGCCAAGCGGGAGCAGGCGATGTTGCAACAGCAGCCCCTGAGCTTGACTTGCGCAGTCTGTCCTTTGGGCAAAGGAGACTTGCAGACCATGGTGTTGTTTGTGTTTGTTTTTTTTTTGGGGGAGGGGATGGGGGGGTACAAAGCAAGTCCCCTGAATGGTGTAGGGGGGTGTTGAGGAGTAGAGGTGCTGCTTTATGCGCTTGCGTCTTTTTTGGCATTTTCGAAGACTGCGATTTCCACGCTATCACGTCGCTTTCTGTAGGGGGTTTCTTTGACCAACCCGGGTTGCATACCACATCAATTTGGTGTTCTGCGTGGTCTGAAGTGCAAGGGCTGCCTTTAGGGTGGGAAGCATCGGTGTGGAGAACACGGTGTTAGAAGCACCCGGATTCAATAGGTCAACTGGTATTTCAATCTACCTGCGGAGCCGACCGCTGCCCTGGTCCAGCCCACGCTGAACAACCTTAAGCAACTTTAAACAAGTGGACTACATAGGAATACTACCCCACCTCCGATGCCCTCATCCTCAGCCCGCCCTCCACCTTTTTTGCTTGTGCCGTGGGATGTCCAATTCTGGCCCCACTTTTGGCACTTTTTCATGGGAACCAAAAGCTCAGGTTGAACGAGGCCCTAGACCGGGAGAGGCACTGGGCGGCCAAGAACCTGGAGCTGCGCAGCCACGACGCCCGCGAGGCGCGGCATCGGTGTGTTTTTACTCAAGGGCCCATTGGCTCATTGCTGTTCGAGCTGAAGTAGTCTCGCTGTCGATTCCATTGCTGTTCTTTTCTGAAGGACACCTGGCGTTTGGCCAAAGTCATAAGGGGGTGAAGCGTGGGTGTGGGTGTTCGCCCTTGAGCCAACCAGTCCGGAACAGAGCACACAGGGGATGACCCCTGGAAAGATTGTCATGTGATAGTTTCTTGCTGGTTTTATTCCCCATCTCGTTCTTTGGTTCTTAAGATGGGGGAAAGCTCGGACACTCATATTATGGGAGAGTCCTTGTTTTAGGGTGCGCCCTTTTGAGGCTGCTTTTGCGGGAGAAACGGTGTGGCAACATATGTCTGGGCAGCCTGCTACTGGTTCACACTATGAGGCATTGGCCACGGATGGACAGGTGCTTTGAATCCTTCATTCTTTACGCAATGTTTGGTTTTCAGAGGCTTTGGCTGGGTTTGCTTATTCCTCATCGGCAGTCGGCTTATTGAGCGCATTCGGCTCCAAGGCGAATTTGGCTTGCTGGCCTTCCGATGCCTGCAAGCCCCCAAGAGTCCCAGAGCCTTCCTTGTCGTTTTTCTTCGCAGGCCAATCCTTTTTCTTCGTTTTTAGTTGTGCGTCCTCCGCGACAAAATGGCCAAGCAAGAAGGGATCAGGGTTACTGGCACTGGGCAACTAGAAGTCGACTTGTTTCGCTGTTCACTGGTTGGCGGGGGAGTGCTGGGAGCTGTGGCTTGGCAAGTTCGGGCCCAGAAGTTGCCTGGGTGAGAGCGCCTCTTAAGCCCACCCTTGTTGAGGAGGCTTTGCACAAGGCCCGCCTGGCGGAGCAATTGGCCAACAGCCGGCTCTTGTGCCAGAACAAGGAGGAGCGCAGTTTCTATGTTTGCGCGGCTTCCCCTCTAGCTCACTTGACCCAGGAGTCGCTGTGCATGCTGCGCTGCCAAGTGGAGGCCAAGGATGAGGAGAGCGAATGAGCGCAGGTCTTCCGGGTGCCTGAAATTCAATGCTTGGAGCACGTTGGAACCCGGGCTCATGGAAGCAAGTCCTTACATGGTGTCCATCAAAGAAAGTCCATACATGCACTCACGGCATTTGGGTTCCCATTCCCCCGCCCCTGTCAGGCCCCGTCCCCCGCCCCCCCGCCCGGAAAAAGACGATCGGCAGGAGCTGGACAAAGTGCGGCGGGAGCAGCGCCAGGGCATGGAGCTGTGCAAGCGCCTGGAGAAGACCTTGGCGCAGATGGCGGAGAAGGCGGGGCAACCTTGGGCCTTCCCAAAGGTGTGGCACAGATTTGCAAGCCACAAATTGTAAGGCGGAACGATGGGTGAGCCGATTCATTGAGGGTCCTTTTTTGCTCGTTGTCTCCTTTTTGGGCGTTTGGAAGTCTCCTCGCTCTTCCACCCATCCTGGCCGTGAACTTGAGTAAAAATGAACCCTTCGGTTAAGCAGGTCGAACATCCCAGAAGAAGCATCCCAATGGCTTGCGTGATTCAGCCCCTGTCAGGTCGATGCCATTGTCCACACAGCCTCCGTTTGAAGTTCCTCGAAGGGGACCATGGTTGTTCAAGCCAATGTTGTTCTCTTTTGGGAAAATTGAACACTTGTGTTGGCTTCAAGTATTGTGTTATATTGTAGTATATAATGCTATATATCATTGCAGTACACTGTTGCATTATAGTATGCATTAAATAGTGTTTGATCAGTGTTGTTTTGGTGTTGTATTTATGTCATGGTGTATCGTATGTGTTCACTATATCTTACTGTTTTGTGTTGGGTTACAGTATGTACATACATGTACATTGAAAAAGCGGCAGGGGTGAGAGCCCCCTTTTTTAGATTTCCCTTGGAATCGGAACGTGGTGACTTGAGTTCCACTTGTAGTTCCGTTGTTTCTGTGAGACCGGCAAATCGGAAGCTCAGCTTGCTCCTACTTGGTGGTTTGGAGGTTAGGGGCGGTATTTCTTGCCTACTCGAGGATGATGTGTTTTCATGTCTTTTGGTTTTTGAGTTCCCCAGCTCTCCTTCCTTTCCAATGCTCTCGGGGCATTTGCCTTTCCTTTTGGGGTAAAGTGTTCCAGAACCGAGGGGGTCGAATCTGGCTTCCCTCGCATTTCAGGAGCGGCTTGCGGACCAGAAGGACGCGGAGCTGAGCAAAACTAAGACGGAGCTCCAAAAGGAGAAGGACATTTGCGCCAGGGCGCTGCAAGAGGCGTGGGTCATTCTTGTTGGTTGGCTTCGAGGTTCTCTTGAGGTCTTTCTTATAGCTGCTTTTGGCACGCTCTTTGGCCGGCCCGGGGTTTGCGGCCCCCGACTTTCCCGCTTCCCTTTCTATGTTGCTTTGGCTGTGAATCAGTATCATTGCATGGGTGTTCAGCCAGCCGACTTAGGAGGTTTAACTAATTACTGTTGTAAATGGGACAGGGGTTGGTGGACCTATGACCGACACACGACTCTAGTCAAAACTTAGTCAGCACCCTCCGAAGAAAAAACAGAGTTATGGAACCTTGAAAGGGTTTTCTGAACAGCCGCTCTCTCTTACGACGACCCTTTGTCAGGTTCCGTTTTTTTCTTTCTTTTTTTTGGGGGGGGGGAGGGTGGCAAGCGGATTGCAATCATATTACGCGCCCAGTGCTGCCCCTTTTCCACTCAGGGTTATAACCTTCTAAGCGGGGTGATCGTCCAACTGGCATTGAACTCTCAAAGTGGGTTGGTTTCCCCGTGGTTGTGGTTTAAGGGATTTTTAGGCTGAGCATGCAAGTGGATCCCAACCCCGTGTGGCTGGTTCCCTCTATGTCCGAGTAGGTTTTTGGGGAAGCCAAGCCAGTAGATCCCTTTAAACCAGCCCAACGAAGAGACACACCTTCACACCTTTGTTCTCAATGGCTTCCCTCCTTCGTCATCTCCAGGTCTTTTTCAAGGGGAGGTGGGGGCTTCCCCGAAATTCCAGCGATTCGAACTGCGCAGCTCGCGCGACCGAACCGTCCGACGCGCGCGAGGTGCGGGAGCAGAGCAAGGCGGAGGCGTCTTTGCGGCAGCAGCTGGGGGATTTGAAGGACCAACAGAGGGGCCTGGCGCGGGAGAACGAGCAGCTGCGGAGGCCCCTGGAGGAGGCCTCCCGGATGCTTCGGTGCAGCTGGGCTAGACATTTGTTATTCAGCGCTGGTTTCCATGCTGCCTGCAACATGGGAGGCCTGGATGTTGACTTCCGACATGGCAAGGCCACGCTTGTTGCTTGAACCTGGTCGATACTAGTGAAGCAACAGTCAAACAATATGTTGACAGAATATATGCTATTGTATTAGCTGGTGGTTGATTCCATGTTTTGGTTGAACATAAAGTTCCCTGGGCAGCCTACAACTTTCTCAAGGCAAAATCAACATATGCGTGCCGCACTCGGCAGGTGTGTTTCCCCGACCTCCAGTTGGGCATGTCCTTCTTCCATTGCCCTGTTCCCGGGACAAGCCTCCCCTTAGCGGGACTTGACATAGGTGTCCTTTTTTGGCTCAGTGTCAGTGGGGATGACCCAAACCCACAGGCTCCGCTTGCTTTCAGTTTGGATCTTTCCTCGCATTTGTCCAAAATCGCACCTATGAACCGGGGACCCTCCAAACTGAGCAACTGGAACAAACGGCCATGGGAAAAAGTAGAGCTCTGCTTTGAGGTACTGGACTTCAAGCCCCCCCACAACACGGGAAAAGGACAAACACACAAGTCTGCACTACCCTAGAAGGTTTTCCTTCTACCAGGGTCACTGCCGGATCCGAATTCCAAGTCTCCGGCGAAGCTCAGTGGTGGGGTTCCCAATCAACAACTGTCCGACATCAGCTAAACTTTCCAGGGTCGCTGATTGCAACTCTTGGGATTTGCAAGCCAGTGTGTACCATGGTTGTAGGCTTTTCCGTAGCTGGCATGGAATGGTTGAAATTTCATTCAACGATTTAACATGAACTGGACTCTCAACCCATCTCGCATTCCGGGGGTGTCTCTTTGAGGACACTAGTTTTTGTGGATTCCATGTCCCACTTGAAGAGGAAGGGCTCTAATTGTTCAATTCGAGGTTTGGTCCACATTGCCAGCAGTCCATTTCAGTGGGGGCCCAAATTTCCCACCAACCAGGGGACTCGCTAGAAGCTTCCCATGTCCTCTTAGGGGACGAAGTCATTTCGACCGCAGGAGGTGGCCAAAAGGGCAGCGCTGGCGCAGCAGCTCACAAGCACCGGCCTCCTGCTGAAGGGCAAGGAGGCGTGAGAGCGAGCTGGTGGACATGGGGAACACCCTCCTTGGGTGTTAACGTGGAACTCGAAAAGCACAGACTGCAGAGGACACTCCTTGTTGAACACCCCGTTTTTTAGGTTCCATTTTTCCATTTGCAGGGGTTCTCAAAGTTATATTTGGCCATTGAAGCTCACCTCCCATTTGTTTGGGGGATGTCGGGATGTCACTTTAATGGACCCAGTTGAAGTTGGCTACTGGCTCCTTACATCTGCGCAATTTATGTCGAGCTGACCGATTCGGGGCGAAAAGGAGCTCATCCATGATGAAGGCTACTGAAATATAGCTGGATCAGTGTGTTCCAAGGGCATAGAAATCCCCCAGCAAACACTGGTGGTCTAATTGCCACAGATTCATGTTAGGATGCCTCTCCTTCGCAGTGCTCATCAGCCTCATCCTACAAGGGCTTGAGCTCGCTTTTTCATACATTGTTAAAGCCCGCTCAACACTGCTCGAGGTTATGACTGTTAGATGCGTCAAAAGTGCAGAGTGCACATTGTTGTCGTTGTGCACTTGAAGCGGTGACCCTGTTAGCCGCCTCTGTTGCGGAAGCTGAATGTGACCATGGAATGAAATGCCACAGAACCTATCATTGGCCAAGTTGCAAGAAGCTTAACGCACTCTAAGGGCTGCAGCCACGCACATCCCTGATGTCACTTAATGAGTGCTACGCATACTGACCAACTTTCTGTTCCCGCTGCTCTGTTCTCTTTTTTTCCCAACAGCTTAAAGCTTTGGGGTCTCAGCCCAGATAGGCTCCGGGGTTGTCCGGGGCGGCCCTGAGGTAAGGTTCCACGAGGGTTCCACCAGGGTTGAACGAGGGTTCCACGAGGTTCTGCGCGGGGTGGCGCGAGCACTAAAAAGAGCACCACATCCTGTTCAGGAAATCACCTGAGCTTATTCTTTGTTTTGGTTCGAGTTGACAAGTCCACCAGTAAGGGAAGTGGTCTTGTGTAATTTGCCAAAACAAGTTTTTGGAGACTTGCTGATCCCCACGCAGCAGCCGGTTGTGCTGCAGTTGTGCAGCGTCTCAGCTCATCAGAAGAGCCCCGCCCGGGATTTGGTGCTTGGACTTGGTAGTTTGTGCTGCAAAGAGTAGACTCACAATCACTTGCCCGTGGAGTAGGCAAACATACTACTTCTGTTGGCAGGGTTTTTCCAGCCCTCCTTGTTGCCAACAACCGATTGGTTTAGCCCTTAGAAAGACAACCTCCATTGCTGGCACCAGGAGGAGAATGCGGCCTTGCGCAGCCAGCTGGTGGCCAAGGAGGAGGACAGAATGATTCAAAGCCGTCCATCCTAGGACCCTCCTTGGTGGCACACAGTCCTCTTGTGAAACAATGTTTGATCACTTGCTGCCAGAGGGGCTGGGCAGTTTTGTCTTTGAGCTTTTGTCCAGAGCCCGGGCATCAACCACTATCTTGACGGGTAGTTGTTGGAATTGTTTTTTCGGCATTTGTCAAAACAAGGGTTCCCAAAATGGTAGTTTTCCCCTTGGCTTCCCTTGTCCCTCCTCAACAACAAAACGCACCCAAATCGGAATTCCGAGCCCTGCTTAAAAAAGCAAACAAAACACACGGTAAGTAAGTTTCACTATAGGTCCCCCCCCCCAAGGAAAAACAAAACGTGTTTGCTCCCTCCCGCCCGCCCGTCAGCTTCCGGTCAGGAGGTGGAGACTCTGCGCCGGGCTTCGCGCCGGGCCTCTCTGAGCGAGCAGCAGACGGAGGCGGAGCGCGCGGAGTTGGCGCGGAAGCTGGCGGAGGTGGCCCAGCGCGCCGCCACCAAGGCCGCGTGGAGCGCTCAAGGGGCGGGCGGGTGGGTTTTTGGAGTGACCAGTGGAGTGGCTGGGGTGAGGGCACCAGGCGAAGAGAGCAAATCCAAGAAGCAAAGGAACCAGACACACAACAAATCAACGAGCAAGAGAAGAACAAACCAGCAAGCCATTCACGCGGTTTACTAGCTTTTGTTATAATATATATATATATATATATATTTGTTTGGTGCCAGATTTCTTCATCGTTTTAGTCTCAGGCCCAAAAGTGTAAACTTGTTCCAGTAAACTCAGCACGGCTTTTGTGCCAAGTGTGAAAGTGGTTTCGGATATAGGAGCACGGTTATTTCCGGCCCTACAACAGTTCAGCCCATTATTTTTGTGACTAAGCAGAACTCGTAGATGTGGGGCCCTGAGGAGCTCCCCCTGCTTTTCTTCGGATTTTTGTATCGTACCCACACATTCGCATCGCGAGTTGACGTTCTCATTCCGCTCAGCCCTCAGTTCTTCACAGCGCTTTGCGGCTTAGCACGCGCTTGCCACGTATTCGTTCTAGGCATTTGCGTTTCCACGTTGGTTTCCCCTGAGCCATCGCCCAACACAATGTTGTGCCCCCTGGCTGGCTGCTGGGGTGGGGTGAAAACCGAACCTCCCTCCCAATACACGGGAACACGTGATCTCTCTCTCTCTCTCTCTCTATATTTGTATGTGTATCCCATTTACAGTGTCATGTGTCCCCCAAGGGCCTCCCCAAGAGGGGCCTCCCCAGATTTGAGGAATTATGACCGAGTCCAACATTAAGCCTTATTAAGCCTTATTAAGCCTTATTAAGCCTTATTAAGCTTTATTAAGCCTTATTAAGCCTTATTAAGCCTTATTAAGCTTTATTAAGCCTTATTAAGCTTTATTAAGCCTTATTAAGCCTTATTAAGGCTTAATAAGGCTTAATAAGGCTTAATAACGCTTAATAATTTGTTATTTAGATGAATGCTCAAAACGGACATGTTCTCTTATTTTCAACAATCCTTCAAATCCGCCATGTCGAAAGACATCCAGCCTAGAACGCATGCCCCAGGATTCTAGTCAAAGTACCATACTTCGAAAAGGGACCAACACATCGTTTCTTTTTGAGAAGTAAAAGGGGTGGTAGGGGAGGGGAGAGGAGGGGGGGTAAGAGGGGGTGGGGAAGGGAGGGGGGGGGGAGGGAGGGGATGGAGGGAGGAAGGGGGAAGGGGGGGCCAAAAGCGTGTCCCTGGGCAGGTTTTGGGGGGGGGGCCTCCCCACCACATTAAGCCATATTAAGCCTTATTAAGCCTTATTAAGCCTTATTAAGCCCTATTAAGCCTCATTAAGCCTTATTAAGCCTTATTTAAAGCTAATTAAGGCTTAATAAGCTTTAATAGGCCCTGCTAGCAAACAGTCGTATTTTCCTACATTTTGGAACCCCTCCGAAATTCTTGCTTGATTTGGGAGACTGGGCTGCCCTCAACATTACACTGGTGATCTAAACCACCTCACTTGGGAATCGCAGCAGGTTTGGCTTCTCGCTCCTGATTTGCGGGCCCCACCTTTGCCGTTACCTTTGCACTTGGCGGAGTTGAGCAATTGCAGCTAGATTCGAGCAAAGTACCCCCAACAACGCTCACACATCATGAAAAACACAGAAAACCTGAACCAACATTAAACATGCAAGAAAACCAAATCTGGGGAGGCCCTCCCTGGGGAGGCCCTTCGGGGACACATGACAGTGGTTGCATACAGGTAAACACACAACATGCATTCGTCCTTTGGCGGCAGAGAGTGACTTTTGCGTGGCAGTGAGAATGCCAGTGTCATAGTCGCGTCCTCATATTCACGTTTGCTTCCAGCTTCTTCAGAGTTTCCGTTCGTGATGAGGAAATTGTCAGCATTTCCCGGATCAACTTTGGGGGCATGCGCTCAAAGTTTCCCATGGCCATGATTTGATTTGTCCCGGTAGGATTTCAACCCTTAAGTTGGTTCTAACCCCATGTATGAATTGGGGCAACCGCTGTTGGCTAGCATAAAGCCAGGGTGATGACTTACACTCAGAAACCATCAGATAGCATATGGACCCCCTTTTTGCTGGCCCCATGTTTCGGGACATCTCCAACATGTGCTAGCTGTTGCCTGGGTATCCTTTCCCTTCCGCGCACATGGGGATGTCCCTGTTCCACGGTTGGGTGGTTTGGGCGGGGGGGGGGGGGTAGCGCCAACTTCCAGTCACGGGCGACGGCGCTGGCCAGTGGCCAGGACCAGCTCTGCGAGCAGAAGGATTCGGAGCTCGGGAAGCTGCGCACGGAGCTGAAGACGGAGAGGTCTCTGTGCCAGTCCGCCATGCAGGAGGCCGGGAGCCGGGAGGTCGGGTCTCGGGGGGGTTCTCAGGGGCGTCGGGGGCGTCGGGCCAGTGGCGTGGTGAGGGGAAGGAGCCCACAGAGCTCGAATTCGGATGAACCAGCAGCTTATCAATAGGGGTGTCCATTTCTGGGTTTAGTGGGGAATCAGTCCACTTTTGGTGGGGAACACCCCCATATTAATAAACTGGCGTTGATGAATCTGGGGTCAACATCAAAGGGTCTCGTCCGAGAGTCGTGAATCGGGGTCCGGCAAGGGTGGGATGGCAATGGCTTGTTTTTCCCAGTGGCCCTGCGTTGGAGCCAAGAGAAAAGGAAGGTCGCCAGGTACTTGTTTTTGGCCAACATTGTTGCCTTGCAAGAGTTGACGCAGCACCCACTCAGTCCCCACTCTATTAGGACCCCGTATGGCGTTGTTCATTCGAGGTCAAGATGGGGGCCGGGTTGCAATCCGTGAAAAGGGACAGGAATCTGTTCAAAGTGCACTTAGCAATGGAGGCATTTCAAGCATTGCCTGACAGATTCTCCTTCGCTTTGGTCCTTCTCGGCACGGGGGGACCAACGCAGGAACCAATATGGCCATGAAACTATATGGGGAGCTTCGTCCGAAATGCACATGTTTTTTTTGGGGGGGAATAGGTTGTACTTTTATCCGGAGCGGTTGGTGGACCTACATGGTTGTCCCCAACAATTGGAAGCGGAGTCCCGCACCCAAGCAGCGCGCAAGCCCCAAACCTTTGACAAGTGGTTCAGCTCCATAAATCAGAATGTTGACCCTGGACTAGTTTAATAAACCAGGGCGGATTTTCACTTGTCAGGACTCTTGTGCCGGCTTCGCACTCTTGTCAAAGGGAGGTGGCTAGCAGGTACCACACATCTTCAAAAAAGGCATTTAGGCTGCCTGGGTTCCCGGTTTAAGTTGGAGGCGGTCAGTCTTTATGGCCCTGACTTGCACAGAAAGGGAATGTAACATGTACGCCAAAGCATCCAAAGCTTTTTTCTCGCCACACCACATCAACTTTACTTCGGCGCAGTCTGAAGTGCGCAGCATGACTTAGTAAAGTCTTAGAAAGTCTGGCTCCGATCGCGCTTTTTTAGCTTGCAGGCTGGTTGGCTGTGACGCTTTCTGTTTCACCCAAATCCTTGTTCTGGCAACAGGCTTTTTTGACCACCCAGAAGCCACCAACCACCACCCCTTTCAGATCTGGCCCATTTTAGGACCCGTTGCCCGAACCTTGGCCCATTATTCCAACAGCATCGAACAGCATTGCCATTTGCTTCAAGGCACGGTGCAGAAGAAATGGTTGCAACTGGGCTAGGTCACTTCCGACATGTGTCCGGAGGCTTGCGTTTTGTGGCTATGTACCCAGAGTTGCTGTAGCAGAGCTCGCTGCAATCCTTAAACACCCTGCGGGCTTCCGGGTTCGTACTTTGACACAGCTCTCATTAAGAATACCTCTCGGCCTGTTGCACTGACGCAGATGACCTCGTTCCGATTGCAGTGCGGGGTTGGTCGAGGGGGCCTGTAAATTGAGGATGGTGTTGCAGGATGTTGCAAGGCTTGTAGCAGCACGATGTCGGTGCATCGTGGGCTCAGCAGGCCAAGTCAATCAGGATCCATCAAGTCTGCCAAGTAATTTTTGAGCAATGGCACGAATGGTGCTCGGTCTCCTCTTCTCGCTTTTGATCACCGGAGTGGCCGTGCGCTCCAAGTCTGCGTCTGAGCTGCTTAGCCGATTCATCGTATCTTGCATGACTTGAGCTCGAGAAACATGTCGTCTTTTCTTTTGTTTTTTGCCATACACTGGATAACGAACAAGGCTTGTGCTGCACAAAAATCACGGAACGAGCAATAAGAAGCGAAGGTCAATGACAGGGGCTGTTGGAGATCGTGAAAGGGACGCCTGGCAACGGGCAAAGGCGGGTTAGATTCGTAGAAAGAACTGGAAGCAGTGGCAGCTGCTCTGGGAGCTCACGATTTTTTTACAAGGCAGGTCCAAGGCATGGAGGCTTTCACGCTCTGAGGCTGAATGGGACTGCGACTGATTCAGCAGATCGGTGTTGGAACTGCTGTGAGACCCCGAAGTGCGAAGGGGTCCAGTCCACAGCCGCCAACTATGCTCCTGTCGTCTTCAAGAACTGCGTGGTGAAAGTGGGCAAGTGGGAAGTGAAAGGAGCCTTGACTGAAGTCTTGAGGGTTGGTGTAGGATTGGAACCAGTATTTCGCTTGGTTGCCAGTCAACGGCCCGTGCATACGCAGGCGCTGTCCAACATAGTCCGGGTTGGGTGCATTGCCTGACGCATGTTTTGCAAGGAACCGTGGTCAAGCCACAGATGCTGCAAACAACTATCCGGATGAAGCTCAATGTGCCGGCCGACTACATGTGCCGCGAGAAGTGCGCAGTTTTGGATGACAATGGTGCCATCCGTCCACCCACACTCTTCTCACAACAATGGGTCTACCGCGCTGGGGGAGCGGCTTGGTTGCGATTGCTTGTGTGCAGATGTCCTTGGCATACAGTCAGGCTCAGGCCACAGTGATTGCGTGCTCGATCTGAGGTGACGGAAGATGTGAAATGCGCTTTCGGAACCACATATGTCGATGGCGAAATGGCAAGCTAAACCTCGAGTTGTTCTGCAGAAAGATGCCTTCAACCGTCGACCGAAACTCGCGCGCATGGACGAGAGCTGAAAAATAAATCTGCGCGCGCGCGCGCCACATTGGTAGCACCCCCAAGCTGGATCACCAGCTAGCACTCTGGAATGTTGTTCTCATTGGCGTGTGCAATTAGGGCTGATCGAGTCTTATATCTTAAGCTCAGCAATGCCACTGCTGCCGAGAACACAGAGGCACGCTGGCAAGCTATGTTGCGTTTTGGCTCGTGTCCCGCTTTTCGGGTATTGATGCTATTGCCAGGCAGGCCAGCTGTGCAAGGGCAATGGCAAACGTTTATCCCAGGTTCGAACCGAAGATGACGGCTGAATGTCATCGGATCACGCCGACGGCAGATGATTGGAGCGCTAACGGCGCTAACCGTTAACCGATTTCGATTGACCTGGTTGATAGGATTTGGGTCCTGGGCCTGTGGCGTATGGATTTCCCAACCATTTCCACTGAGTCCCCCCTAACCATGAGCCACTCATTGCCGGTAAACGCGCTCGAGAGAGATCAGGCCTCCGAGATCCGCTCTTGCTACACCAAGAAGCTGGGCGCGATGACGGAGCGCGAGCAGGCCTCGCGACACAAGCCCAACATATCTCGAAACGCTTTGGGGTGTGTCAACTTGGATCGCCTGCAAGCGTGTCCGAGCCTTCTAGAAGTGCCCCGGTGCTTTTAGAGTCAAGGGTTTGAACTGGTTTAACCATGAGCTGCGGCAAGTTGCATCAACTCGGCAAGGCCCCAAAGCAATCACTTTCTGTTGACTTGGTGAGCCGTGGGGCAACGCGCAATTCTGTGGAAGTTTTGCCGGTTATCGCTGGTTTGACGCTGGTGCTACTTACCATTCGACCGCCTTTTGCAGGGAACAGTGGGTTTGAAGCGGCCTTCTTCAAAGCGGTCTTCAGGGTAGTTGTTGTCCATCTGTTGAACCCATGTATTCAGTGGTTCAGTGGTTCATTGGTTTTGTGTCGATTGAGGAAAGGTGAGGTCCTGTCAGCCTTTTCTTTCCCACCTTTGTGGATTTTTCATCCACGTAAATGTCCATCCGCCACTTGATTTGGGAAGGAGAGTCTGAAGCCTTATTGTTTTGGTTGAAACATGGTCGGGTTGGCTTTTGCCAGCCCATCAAGACAGACCGCTTTTGGAAGAATACTTTTGTCTCTGGGAGGGAAGCAGGTCCTGCAAATTAGAACGGGGCCCAAGATTATGTCATTATGCAAGCGCCTGCAGTGCATTTCTCCTCAGCCAACCCGGGAATATTCTCCCAGTCTTTAAGTTGGAAGGCGCTCAGGCCATGGAGGTCCATGCGGTCCATGCCTGGGGGGGATGAAGTTAGAGATTATTTAAAGAGAAAGCATGGTTTCGGCCAGCGGAGGCCCAGCAGCAGTCCCTTGAACTCCTGGACGCGGAGAGGAAGTTGTGGCTCACCCGGAGCGACCACTTGGCAGCTCACCCGCAGGGCAGCCAACCCGTTTAGCTCAGCTACTTTGGGGGTTGGACGCTTTGGGACCCTTGATATAGTAGTCGGGGGCCTTGCCCAGCAATAAATTGCTTTCATACATACACCCCCCCCTACATTTTTTTTCATCTTCCATCTTCTACCCTTATTCGTTTTCATCATTTTTCTACATTCCTTTCTGTCCATCTCATCCGTTTTTTTATCATCATTTTTCCAAAATTTTCGCCATCCTTTTCTCCTTCCTCCTCGCCTCATTCATTTCACCAACTACCCTCCAAAATGTCATTTCCTCAATCTCCTCACCTCATCCATTTCAAAAAAATATTTTTTGCAAAATATATTGCAAAAAATATTTGTCATCAAAAAAATATTCGAACTGTCTAAAAACGATTTGTCCATTTCTCGGACAAAAAATAGAACAGCAACAACATCACTCCCTCCTTCGTTTCATCAGTTTCATCATATATTTTTTTGGGGCGTGGTGTCCCTTGTAGGATTTTATTGGGTTTTATGGTGTGGGGTTTCAACCGTCGGCGCCGCTCACTTGCCACGTCTTCATCTTCTACCACATTCCAGAGGCGGGGCGGACTTTCGGCAACAGGTTCGCACAGCCCCAGATGATGAAAAAGGCGTTTTGTCCTAGCACCATCAGCATTTTTGACCAAGCAGTTTTAAGCTTTTTGTGGGACACCCGACGCCGTGCCAGGTTGATGGGCGAGCACGACAAGCTTGGGTGCGCCCCCTTTTGACTGGGGGGCAGGGCGGGCTGGCTTGGGTTTTGGGTTTGCTGGCGGGTCCCTCCCTCTCCTTGTCTTTTATGTGTTTGTTTTTTTTTCCTGCGCAGGTATCTTCAGCGTCTTCTTCGCCTACGAGACCGTGCCCTACTAGGTAAGGACTTTGTTGGGAGGGTTTTTTTGTTTTTCTGGGGCGGGGTATATATATAGTATATATAAGGGGAAACTCTCGCCAATTTTTCCTGCCCTGTTTGGCAATTGGCGAGAGTTTCCTGATATATCTATATGAATATTGGTGTTTTCTAAATTTGATAAACTATGGATTATCCCCTTAAAATTCATTATTTTCAAATTTTAGAATTCCTATTTTTTACTGTGTTGTCGTTGGATGAACCTAGAAATTTCAAGTTTCAAGTCCAACCCCAAACTCAAAATCCTTAACCCGTCAAACTCACCAAGATTTCACAAATTAATTCACTAGGTATTTTGTATAAATCTTCCTGTTTATGTATTATTGGATTGTCACCCCATTTTTCCTTGGTGCCCGATGGCAGTCTCTGTGCGGTTTCAATATGTTTATTATTCCTGATGTTGCCACAATCCTTTTTACATAATTCTCTAGGTTTCCAAGTTGTAATGTTTTTCCATAGCCTAGTGCGTTTTCTGTAAGGCATTCCATACTTACAGTAATCTACATCTTTAAAATCAAACTCATCCATAAACTCCTGATGTTTTAATAATCCAGTTTGTGGATTTTCGATTACAAAATATTTAGGATTGAAATATTTGATAATCTCAATAGTTTTTAAGACAATACTATTTGCATATTCGATATTCCTAATTCCCCTAGTTTTTGCTATGCTGTATTCAGTGCATGGGGGACTACTCCAAATAAAATCAAAATGGTTTCTGTCAAACTGTTTGTAATCCCACTCCAAAATATCAGTGTTGATATCAGCATTTTTCAAGTCTAATGATATCACATTAAATCCAAGCGACTTTGCTATGGTTCCGACGCTTTTTGTTCCGCTAAATAATTCCAATAAATTCATTTATTAGAATTATTTAGATATTAATTATTCAATTAATACATATACTCCATCATCGTTTTTTGAAATTTTGTAAAATTCTAAAGTGGTGCTTTTAGGTTGTTTGATTTTTCCTGTATTCAACATATCACAATATTTATTTTGCTTTGTAGGGTAGTCGCCCGATGGTCTTCCTATAGATTTTGCTTGAAATATCTTTTCGATTTTCTCCTTCTCTTCGTTGCTTTGTTGTTCGCGTTCAACTGGTTTCATTTTGTCATCAATGGATTTAATCATATCATTTAAGTTTTTGATATTTTTACCAATTAATGTTATCTTCTTCATTAAATCATTAATAGTATAATTCTCATTTTCAGACATTACTATATATTTATTTAGATAATTATTTATTTAATTATATATTTATAAAGTGCAATTATGTTAAATCTACGTTAGTTTCAATATTCGTTAGTTTCAATGTTCGTTAGTTTCAATAACCATATCACCATCTGTTCTTTTCTGAATATTAAAATCTTTATCTGTTTTTTTTATAAGAAAACATACATGGGACACAACAAACTTTAACTCCACCTTTCTTATCTACTGTCAATTCATTTTTAAAATTCATTACGTGATTACATTTATCACATTTTATAGCCTTACTTTCGCCTAGTGATTTAACACTTTCTGCTGTTTCTTTCCGTGCTTCAATATCTGGTATTGGTCTTTCTTTGCTTTTACTCTTTTTCTTTTTTCCCATTTATATTAATATTTATATTTTTAATATATTGTATCAAAAACTTAATTAATTCTAAAATAAAATAACATATTTTTTTACATCTATTATCAGTTATGACAACCCGTTCTATATTCTCCATTTCATTTATTATATTAATATAATCTGTATAACTCCTATTCATATAAATAATAAGATAAAATAGTTATTTAATCTTATTATTTTCATGCATAATAGAATATTGGTGGGCACAGCACTTGGGTTTTCCATTGCACACGCGAGCAAGACACAAAACTAATTAGCTTCAATGCTTATTGATTGAAGTTGATGAAAGAGCCTGTTCTACTACGATAGTCACCATTCATATCATAGCAATGCTTTCATACAATAAATAATATTAAATTATTTTCTAAATATGTTTAATATCAACTATATGACAGATGTTCCAATAATAAAACCAATAAACATAACTGAATATGAATTCAATCAATCTAAATATGAGCACGTGCCAAAATTACCATTTAGAAGTATTATAGTTGCTTCTTCGACAGGCGGTAAGACTGTCCTTATTCAAAATTTAATATTGAATGTTTATAGAAATTCATTTGCAAGAATATTTATATTTTCACCCAGCGTCCATAACGACCCTACATTTACAGAAGTTAAAAAATATATCAGGGATGAATTGCACGTGGATGATGAAAAAGAACAAATTTATTTTGATAATTATAATCCAAGTGATTTAGAAAATGTAATTGAAAGACAGAAGAAAATAATTAATTATATGAAATCTAAAAAGATAAAGAAACTACATTCAATATTAATCGTTATAGATGACCACGCAGACGACCCTAAATTTGTTAGATATAGTAAATTATTACATGGATTATTTACAAGAGGCAGGCACGATGCAGTAAGTGTGATTTGTTCAACACAAAAATACAATGTTTTAGCGCCTATCATTCGTTTAAATGCCAGTTCATTATATATTTTTAGGTTGAAAAAT